TCGGAGTCTAATTCCGAGGTCGAACGCGGGCCCCCCTAATCCACAAATCAAGCAGTCCAGGTGGACTTCGTCAAATTGGGGACCTTTGCATCCTCGCGAGGCGAGGAATCCCAGTAGTTCTGTGAACCACTGCCAGAACGATTCCATGTCATTCTCTCCTGACCATTTCTTGTCAGGGAATGCCGGCCCATTCTTTAGGGCTTCTGGCTTCACTCCTTCTGGGTAGGGAGTGAGTATTCTCACTTCGGCCATTCTTATGGCCTTTTCGTACCATTTCTCCAGGTACTCTTCTTGCTCCCCTGCCTTCGCAGGGTCGCTATCCAATGGAGATCTCTCCTTTGGGGGGTTTTTGCAAATCTTCCTCGCAGCGTTTCTTTGGTTTCAGGCGAATTCGCCTGAAGTTGTATTTGTATTCTCTCATTGTTTTGAGAGGGTGTGAATGAGTTACCTCTCTGTTCGAGAGGTCCGTCATAAGTGGACGTTTGGCCGAACCTTTGGTACGTGCCAATTCTCCTCCTAATCTCTGAATGATGCCCTCTTTTGGCATCGTCTTCTCCTATCCTTGGGAGAAGGATCTCCTTAGCGTCTCTGTCAAGTCGCTGATGATATTCCAGTGTGCTTTCACTGGTGGTTCTTTTCGTGAATTTTTCATGAGTTCTATTTATGTCCTGGACCATGGTCCAGGGGTGTTTATTCGTTTCCTCACTTTTTTGTGAGAAACTCACCCCCTTCAGCAAGTCTGTTTGTTCGCTGATTTTTTCAGTCAACATGTCGATTGCGTTGGCCATTCTTTCTAGAGTTATCTCTAGACGAGCCATGCTATTATGGTTCGTTTCCTCGATCTTTTTTTGGATCGAGTTTATCGCATTCATTATGCGCGATTCCTGGTTTTCCAGGAGGAAGTTTGGTTGGGCGAGCAGAGACTCTCCCCAGTTGACATTTCCGCTTCTGGGGGTTCCAGAATGGGTTCTTGGAGTGAACACTCCACGCTCGCTTTGTTTAGGCGAGGCTGTTGCGGAGGGTGCTTCCCTTTCATAGAGGGGTCTGTTCACTGGTTTTTCCTTACTTTTCCATAAGGCTTCCTCAGCGAACTCCCTCATTTCAGTTCGCCTCCTCTTCATTATCTCGGAGACCTCCTCTGAGGTTGGCGACCTTGCCTTGTCTGGGATGGTGTGTGGGAGTGTAAACAGTGGAAGTTCTTTTGGAGCTTCCGCACTCTGGGAGATCCTGCTCTCAGGGCGTATCTTCGCGCCTTCTCGGGCTTTCAGCCTGAGAAGAAGTTGATCTTCACTTTCCATCCTCCATTCAGATGGAACCTGGAACAAGTCCAGTAGTTTTTCGGATAGCTGACGCGGGGGCTCTTCCCTTTGTTTCCCTTTGTCTGCCTTTGGGGCTTGACTTGGAGATGTGAGGGGGACTCCAGGGGATAGTGGGGCCCTGGAGTTTCCTGCAACTCTATCCGATCAGCTTTTTGGGCTGATCGTTCGGTGCTCACGCATTTTTCGCACAAGTCGATCACCTCGTGAGGAGGTGAGGGATCTTCCCCCGCTTGGGTTAGATCGGTGTGTTGTGGAGTTCTGGGGGTAATTGGCCCCACACTTACTCCACGTAAGTTTCTAAAGCCTTCAGGGACCAGCCCTGAGGTGGTTGCTAATACCGGATCATGTTGATCCTCGTCGTCGTCCGACAACGGCTTTTGGTTTGAATCTCCCATGATGGGAGATTGCGGTTTCTTAATAAACCGCTCGTTTCTTTTTAGTGTTGCTGCAGATGCAACCTTGCCCTTGCGGGCATGTTTAGGTGCCATAGGCACTTCCGAGTCAGATGTTAAGATTGTAGAGTTGTGGGTTGTGTTGTAAAACACACCTCATGCACTTAAAAAAGTGTGAGGTCTTTGGGTAGCTCAGCACACAAGGCCATAAGTGATACAAGTTTGTGTATTTTACGGTGGTGTGTAAGCAGTTACCCAGAGGTTCCCGCTTGCCCACGTGACTATATGTATCTAATTTACATGTGGCTCGGGGTTCAGGGCTATTGCCCTGACAGGTTTCTTTATGAACCACTCGTTCTTTTTTATTGTTGCTGCAGAGGCAACCTTGCCCTTGTGGGCATGTTTTGGTGCCATAGGTGCTACTGAGTCGGAATGTTAAAGATGTAGTATGAGTTTGTGGTTTGTGTTTACTTTTAAACACACCTCATACACTTAAAAAAGTGTGAGGTCTTTGGGGTCACTCAGCATGCCAGTCCATAAGTGTTACAATGGTGTTAAGTGGTAACTGGAAGTTGCCGCTTGACCACATGACTCTAAATACACCTTTGTTACATAAGACTCGGGGTTTGGGGCTATTGCCCTGACAGTTTTGTACACATGGTCTTGGGAACCTCAATGCTAAGGTATGGACATTCTGGGAATCAAACTGAACCCTGCATAGGTCCAAGCTAGTGTGTTGCCATTGAGATGTCGGATACCATCAATTAGTTAGGTAGTATTGTAAATACAACGATGGTGGACTTGCCTGAGATGTCGGATACCTCGATTAGTTGGGTATCCACATCTGCAGGCTTCACCCTTAAATACATGCATGAGTGGCAACAGTGATACGTGAGAGACAAAAGGAAATGAACTACAAAGGTAACTGGACACTTTGTGGTCCAGTACCAAGTTGCAGGAGCGCCCTGATGCCTCTCCCAAAGCTCAATTTGTCCGGTCCGAGCTCCTCCAATCCAGCTGTGACGTACCAGGTGGATTACCACCCCTGACCACCTGTGGCATTGGACTGCTAACTTCAACAGCCATTACACTAAATGCCTGCATTTAAGCAGAGGTGGTTTCTAACAGGTTTCTGGGACATTCCTATGATGCAAGCATGCATGACCCTGACAAACCCTCAGCAGAGCACAGAGATAGGAAGAGGGACAATCTGGAAGTTAGGTGGAGGCAACATGCAGGAGCATGTGGGAGGTGATGGAGTTACAATATAATAGGGCTGATGTGGCTACATTGGGTACATAGTCTTATGCTATATTGCTAGGGCAACAGGGAACCACTTACACTATGTTCCCTGACATGGATGTGCTTTTTGGGTTCTCATCTGCATGTCCAATTCAATATCAGAAATTGACTTGCCATGCTTTGTGCATTTCATACTCTGATCATAGTTCTGATTGGGACAAAGATGGCATGTGTTCCCTCCTTCATTTCCTCCACTTTTCAAGCTATGTATTATCCAGATCAAAAGATCATCATTCAAAGTATGGAGTAGTCACAACCCAGCATATCCACCACCTCCGTCAACATGTCCTAGTACCACTTGGCCCGTCCCACCTGCTACCATCATCATCCATCCATCCATCCATCCACCCATCACCCTCATCCACACTTTCTCCCTGCATGTGTACCTTCCAACCAAGGTTGCCTGTTCAAGTGGTTCATTGTTATCCACCCACCAGCCAGACAGCTTGCTAGACAGCTGGATGGCCTTTTCTTTCTTTTGTTCACTTGCGGACTATTGTTCTCCCTTTGCCACTCCTTGTTTCTTTATTTCCTTTTGTTGGCAAGGTTTGCCAATATTAACCATTTGTCTATTTCTCCATTCATTAATATTGCACTTGATCTGCCACTCCTTCCAGGCTGGTCCATTTAGTTGTGCTTATAACATGTGTAGGTTACACTGGATGTACCTCAGTTCATATATCGACTTGGATTTCCCCCCTTGTCTCTTCTCTACATTGTAAGGCTCCTGTATGAAATTGGGACAACAATGTAAGAACAAAGTGCAGCGCTCCACCTGAGTCGCTGAAGCTGAAGTCCTGCCCCTCTGACCTTACAAGCCTGGATGACTTCATGCACCTTGCGGATCATCCGGATATGCATCCGACACATTCCTGACAGGAGTCCATCTCTTCTGCTGATCTCTGTGCCTCCATTTTTCCACTGGATCCCATATCTCACACTGCTACCACTCAACCATGAGCAAATGCACACATGCTGCTGTTCAACCACACCACCTCTCATAATCCATGTGATTTCAGTGGCACACCCATTGCATCTAGGGGTGCCATGGTTCAGTTTGGTTTGGTTCTGGGGCCATTTTTGACAATAATGCCAAACCAGAACTGAACCAGCATCTGAACCAAACTGAACTGCATTTCAGTTTGGTCCCGGTTCAGTCAGGCACTCACATGAGTGCCAAGGGGGTCTCAAGAGAAATACATTAAAAATAACAGATAAGTCCGATCTGAGAACAGTCATCCTTCTTCATCTGAATGAAGTCCAAATCATATTTCCCTGGTAAGTTGTCAACAGATGTTCGGACATTGTGTTACCGATGCCAACCCCTAATTGCATCCTCACATGTCTGCTGTCAGCCTCTGAATCTTAAGGATGGAATTTCTCTTTTTCTTGCCGATGTTGCTCACAGTGATGTAACTTCAAGGTCCCTTCATTGCGTCATTTCAATGTTCCATCCACTCCCAACTTGGCAAATGTGAACGGTCTGCATGACTCCATTTTACATCTGAATTTAATGTATCCACACTCTTCCACCTCCATCTGAAGATCTCTATCAGTGTCAGACATGCTTAGCAAACCTGTCTGTCTGATATACATTGACTCCAAGGCAAATATTTGGCCACACCTCATCCTTTCCCCAATCACCCCTTAATTATCATGTTGCATCTTGAAGGAGACGTCAATATGTCTTCCTTCAATGTCACGAACATGTCATTGCTCTTTACAATATGGTCATTGGCCATAGCTAACGATGAATATTTTGCTCCCTTGTTGACCATCATTGAAGAGGCCCTGCCAATGATTGCGCGAAAATGGGCGAAAAGTTGGATTGTCCATTTGCGCGATGATGTCATGTCCACTGGTCATTCTATTGGTCCTCTCTCCACCACCTTTAATCCCAGCGTGATTGGGCAAGTGTTCATAGTGCGTCCTATACAGGCTATAACTGTGGGAAATCAAAAATAGGATGGGAAGAGTGGCGGGTTCTGCCGCATCAGGCAGACCCCACCAGTTAATCAAATTCTTGATGAGCTTGGAGACTCGCTTCCCTATGGGTCCCCTTCCATCATACCACCATCACATTGGAAGATGCTCCCAATGTACATACAGGCGAAAACCGGGTTGTATGTTGTACTGATACACTACTCTTTGGACATCCTTTCAGCTTGCCATCGGTTCTTCCTTCCTAAGTCCCCTGTTCTTCACAACTCATCCATCGACTACAGCCATGGAGTTCTCAACCGTGCTCATTCTCATCGCTATACTCGCTTCCACTACCACAATGACCCTTGGTGCCGCTATTCGTATCCGGATGCAGCAGGGTCCAGTAAAGCCTGACTCGTACATCGTGTATGTCCCACACACAGGCATAGCATAATACTGGCCAACTCCTACATAGTGTGCTGAAATCCGGTGTGAATATGGAAGACCATATCGAGAGTATTACTCGGATATCCGCCCGGAGCCCTGGGTCAGAATTCTCAATCACTCACCGGTTTGGATGTAAGTGGACATCAGTGAACCCTAAATATATGCTAACTTTCGCAGTCCTGAATGGGTACTCCGCACACGCAACCGCAGCATCCCTTACTCGCATTCTCATTTCCTCGGAGGTTGACTATGTTGAAGCTGATGGCATAGTTTCCGTCAACTACGATCACCAGGAGGATGCAAACGATGTTTCAGTTGGAATGGGGGATGATCTGGCCAGGATCCAGGGACGTGGCCCGGCTCAGGGGGACGGGGATGGAGCGACTATTTTTGTCATAGATTCTGGAATTTTTGTTGGACACATCCTCTTGGCCGGCCGGTCCGTATGGGGTGCTGTATGTATTTCTTTACCCACTCTTTCTCATATATGTTCCCTCACACCAGCTTGTATGTGCAGAGCGTTGGTGGATGGCCCCTGGTGGATAAAAACGGTCATGGGACATGTCTCGCTGGGATTGTAGCGAGAATCGCGCCTTCTGCCACACTTGTTGCAGTCAGGGTTACCGACGATAACGATGTTGCATCCGACTCCGCCTTAATCCTCGGCATCAACTACGCTAGGCTCCAATACTCAAAATTGCCTGGTCCTGCCATTGTATTGGTGTCCTGGACCACTCCCCCATGTCAAGCATTGGATCGTATGATCAGGAAAACAATCGCATCTGGGTTGCATGTTGTAGTCTCTGCAGGGAATGACGCGTCAGATGCAAAAAATTTCAGTCCTGGGTCTGTTGTTGAAGCTATCATTGTTGGTGCTGTCGACAGTTGTTACAGGATGGCATGGTTCTCCAACTGGGGACCTTCCATCACTGTTTCCGCCCAGGGTGTTAATATTAGAAGCGCTTCTATCAGTGGCCGGACCGCCTGGACTACCGCAAGTGGTACTAGCATGTCAGCTGCACGCGTTGCGGGCCTGGTAGCCGCTGCAGCAGGTCGATCTGTGACTCCTGCTGCCCTAAAAGCTGCCTTAATAACCCATGCCCTTCCAGCAATTTGGCCCAAGAGAGAGGACACCACAGATTTGGTGGCCATGCCATTCAGACTTGAATGACTGCTAATCCATGGAAATAGACATACTTTGCAATGTTTCCCCTGTTCCTACCCTTCTTGTACTCAGTCATTTATGTGTGTGCTATTCATTCTGTTTCATTTGGTAACACAGCCAGGTTGGTTTTTGCAAAGATGAACCTGGTGTTTAGGTAGATAAATGAGAACCTTGTATTTCCCACTGATGTTCATGGAACAGTTTAGTGCATCAGGAAACCCTGAGGCCGATTGGTGTGATTGAGAGCAATTCAATCTCTCAATCTGCCCAATTGACTTGACACTGCACTACCAACCATCTCAATCACCACAATCATGCATACTAGGCACATACTGGGCTGTGTTTTGATTACTATGTTTGTAGCATGTGTGTCAACTGTTGGAATTTTCACATGGTCTTTTGGGGAAATGTTGGTGTCAGGGAGCAACCCGGGGTCGAGAGCACCTGGATGTGTCACCCAGCACTGAGGACCCGATAGGGTGTAACACAGGCACACATACTAATGGACCTGGCACAAGAGGGCGTCCCTGGCCACTTAGGCTAAAGTGGGAAGTGTGAGAAGAAGGTTACTTCTCAGTTCCCACTTAGGCTGTGTTTATGTACATGCAGTTGAAGGTCACGTGGGGGGCACCATGTCATCTACGTGCACAGCTGTATATGCCTGGGTATCTCCATAAGAGATCCCAGGAGTGTCCGGTGTGTAGGGTGTCACCTGGTGTGTCCGGGTCCGGGCATGTTGTGCAGCCAGGTTAATGGTACATCAATGCAAGGAAAGTTGTCCATGTAGTAGAAAAGGAAAGAAGGAGAAAGAAAGGAAAGAAGAAAGAAGAAGGGAAAGAAAGAAGGAGAGAGGAGGGAGGGGAGAAGGGAGGATGGAGGATGGGGGCACCAGGTGAGGGTAGTGGGATCAGGTGGGGTCGGACCGGGTGGAGTGGGGTCAGGTGGGTGTGCCCTGACAGTTGGACATTGTCAGGGATGGCTTGGGGATGACAGGGGTCATGGTGTGGTGCACAGCACTAGTGGCCCAGATGGCAGCAGAGTCGTGGGAATGTATGTTGGGCAGCCCTTGCTCAGGCAGATATCCCTGCAGGCTTCTTAGGCTGAAGCAGAAATGGGTCGTTATTAAAATGAAAAGCTAAGCTAAGTTAAGCTACTTGCCTGAAGCAGAAATGAGGAGTGTGTCAAACACACCGATTCAGGGTGCAGACAGGGCTCAACTAGGGGATTCTGGGAGATCAGGTAGTGGACTGAAGCTTCTCCAGTCTGCCAGCTAGTACAAGAGTCTCTTAGAAGGACTTGGCCTCAGCAACTCAGAGGGGTGCGCTGTGCCTCCATTACATCTTAGTTGTCCTTAATTTCAGATGACTGAGGTATCTTGTAAGAGGGGAGCATGAATCACTCATAGTGTCATATCCATACAACTCCGGACCTCTGCTCCTGATTCTGGACCTCCATCTCCTCCTCCAGAACTCCAGAACCTCCACCTCCACCTCCCCCTGTTGGTTGTTGAGAGCCCACTCTACCTCTGGCTCCAACACAACATCCAACACTACCTCCAGTCCGACTCTGGTTTACTCCGGGTCCGATCCCAACCTTGTACCTTCCAGACCAGAGCTTGTGATGCTCCACACCTCTGGCTCCAGACTCCTGTACCGGAACCCCATCGCACCTCCACCTCTGGAACTCCAGTCACATCTCTGCCCCCAGACTTTGACCTCCTCCATCTTATCTCCTTGTATTCCTTATTGCATTTCATTTATTACATCTTGCCAATATTCCGGACTTAGACTTCTGATGTTAGAACCGGGCAGATTCGGACGACTCCGGAGTGGAATCAGAGACTTAGCGTGGAAGGACCTTGGCCTCAGCGACTCAAGTGGAGCACTGTGCCATTGCTGGTTGTCCTGGGGGTCCCTAATTTCGGATCTAGCAGAGGGAAAGTCTCGTGGGGGGAATTCAGGTCGATTTCGGACTGAGGTTACAAGTTACTATGTACATTGTATATAAGGAGGGGTCCGGAATCAAAAGGAGCAAGGGTACTCCGAAAGGAGACAAAGGGAGCTGGAAAGAGGAACAACACTGAGGGTCAAGGGTTTGACTCAATGGTGTTTCTCAAAGGAGGAATGAAGGGCCAAGACCCAAGGAGGAAGGAAGGAGGATGGGAGTGGGGAATGGCCAGCTGACTGAATAGAAAGGAAGCAGCAGCCCAAATAGGAATGAGGGAGAATAGCGGAATTGAATAGGACAATGCAATAGTTGCAAGGTCTGACGTAAGTCCGGAAAGTCTGAACTCGGAAGTTAAACTCCGGAATATTGGCAAACGTAATTAAATGGAATGAGCTAACCAATACAATGGGTATAAGCGGAGGTGGGGTCAAAGTCCGAGGTCGGAGCTAAGACAGGAGGTTCCAGAGCAGAGGTCCAGAGTCGGGGGCATAGGTGTTGCGTGCTTGTCTGGGAGGTGTCGAGGTTGAGGTTGGACCCGGAATGTTCCGGAGTTGGACCAAAGGTGGTGTCGGAGCCGGAGGTGGGATAACCTCTTGGGAGTTGGCAAGGAGAAGGTGACGGAAGGGAAGTAGGGCTCCGGAGTCAGTTTCAGAGTTCCAGGAGCCCAGAGCGGAGGTCAGGATTGTATGGATATGACATCTGACTCCAGACCTCTGGAACTTACTCAGGACCCTGCAGTCTCTACTGTATGGTGTCATTTAATCCTCTTGTTGCTTCTTCCTTATTTAGATGGCTGCTTCCTTTCCACATTAGTCAGCTGTCATTCCCCACAACCCACTCCACTCCTTCCCCTCTTAACCTTGCCCTTTTGGGAAGCACCATAGAGTTCCAACCCTTGGCCCTTGGGGTTGTTCCCCATCCAGTCCCCCTTTGTCTCCTTCCAGTTCCCTTTGTCCTCTGACTCCACTCCTGTATTATTATATATACACTCTGTACATAATTTCCTGTACCCCTAATCTGAAATCGATGACTAGAGAACCAGAATCGACTGGATTGTCCTCCAAGAAACTCCTCCTGCCAACCTGAGATTAAGGACCACCTTAGACAACAAAGCAACAGCACAGCGCTCCACCTGAGTTGCTGAGGCAAAGGTCCCTCCTTACTGAGTCCCTTCTCCGCTTCTGGACAATTACATGCTCTTCTAACACATAGAGGAGTTTGGGGGTGAGGTTTAGTTGAGATTAGAACTAACTTACAATGGGTTCTAATCTACAGGTATGCAGAGGAGAGGACTTTAGTTAAAGTCTGAATGATACCAAAAGGTACCAAAAGATACTGAAAGGTTCTGAAGGGTATCTTTAATGGGGAACTGAGGTGTCAGGTCGAGGGGGGCAGAGTAGAAGGCTGGAGAATGAGAAGTGGGTAATGTCAGAAACAAGGCGAGGAGGGGCAGTGTCCCTGGACCTTTCCCTGGAAGGGAGGCCAGAGGTAGAGAACGGGTGGAAGGACCATGGCCTCAGCGACTCAGAGGGGAGCACTGTGCCTATATTCAGTTAACGCTTTTAGAGTCTGGTCCTTAACTTCAGAACAAGGGGCATGAACTCTGGGGGATAGTCTTTGTCATCGATTTTGCACTGAGGTGCCATCAACTACAGTACATGACTTATATACATAATACAAGACAAATTGGAAACAAGGGAAAACCCAAGAGGGACTTACCCACTTGCCGGGTCAGCAAGCTCATGAGAGAATCGCCTTAACAAGCATTGTGGAGTGGGTAGGTGAAGGGTGGAATTAGTGACAGCTATTGGGAAGTGGGAAAACCTTTGCAGGGGTGGTGGAGGTCCTAGGAGGTCCATAGTAATATTGGGTGGATAGAAATATTAATAAACGTTTAGGGTGAGGATAAGAGGTACCGGAGATCGGAGGTGGAGGTGGACCGGAGGTGGACCAGAGGGTATGGCAGAGGTGTGGGGGGAGGACGGACTGGAGGTGGACCGGAATGGTGGCGGAGTAGGGCAGAGGTTTGGCAGAGTTGATATGGATATGACAGGTAAGGGGGCTGAATGAAAAGAAGATGTCAGCCATGCAAGAAGTGGGAGATGACTAATCAAGATGGTGAAGGGCAGAGTTGCTGAGGAATGTGGATAGCTCCAAAGCCAGAGTTACACATCTGAGAAATACTGGGTGACTCCAATAAATGAAATGGGTAGAAGAAGGATTTAACAAAATGTCAGGAAGTCAGAGCAGTCCAGGGATTCTGAAGGTTCTGGCTCAGGTCCGAGCATCTGGGGTGGAGATGGCTGAGGGTGAGTGTGCCAAGGTCCAGCCTGGAGCTGAGACAGTAGGGGTGGAAGTGGGGTGGGACTGTAGGGAGAAATGGTGTAGGAGATGGTGAGGTTGTTGTAAGGGATCAGCAATGACCCTGGACCTTATGCCGGCTGCACATATGCACATGGGAAGTATGCCAGCAATTCCCATCTACTCCAATTACCTAAGCCCTGGTAGCCCAAATCAACTCTGGCATTGTTCTGGAACATTCTATGATCATGTGATTCTATTGGCGATCTGTTTGGTTTCCTTATTGCCGGACTCTACATGTGTATAGCTGACTCTAAGATGGGGACATTCCTTTCCCCTGGCTTTAATCACAACTAGGTTATTGGAGCAACCTGCATGAGCATGTGCATCCCCTGACAGTTGTAAGGAAGGTGTAGTGAGGTGCAGAAGTGTGGGGTCAGGATTCTAGGATATGGCAAAGTGCTTCTTCAGTTCTGCTTTGGCTCAGGTTATATACAGGTGGTCATGTGGGGGTGCCATGTCAGCCTTGGATAGAGCCAAGCAATTGCAGGTGGTTCCGTGGGCAATCCCGAGTATTAGAAAGGAAAGATACAAGTAGGAATGCATGGTGCATCCAGTGGCACAGTGTCAGGGCACACCCGCCCGACCTGCCTCCACCCAGGCCCACCTCACCCGGTACCTCTTCTCTCACCCTGCACCCTTCTTTCCCCCCTCTATCCCTCTTCCACTTCTATTTCTATTTCTATTTCACACGGATGACCTTTCCCTTATATCTATGTACTATTGACCCGCCTGCAACGTGCACACGACATGCCTAGCCCCAGATGCCCCAGACGGCTCTAGGGCGC